CCTGTGGCTCAGTGAGTAGGGCACCAGCCCCATATACCAAGGGTGGCCAGTTCGTACCCAGCCCAGGACAAACTGCAACAAAAAAATAGCCAGGCGTTGTGGCAGGGGCCTGTAGTCCCAACTACTCGGGAGGCAGAGGCAAGAAAATTGCCTAAGCCAAAGAGCTGGAGGTTGCTGTGAGCTGTGACAGCACAGCACTCTACCGAGGGCGATAACATGAGACTTTGTCTCTTAAAAAAATAAATAAATAGAAATAAAGATTTGAGTGTATAGATAGAAGAGCAAGTAAAACTACTAAATATAAGAAGGGAAAGTTCAACTTGATTTAGTATAAGGTCGTATCAGTAATAAAATAAGAATTAAAATAAATATAATTTTAAACATAATACGCAGTACTAACAGAGCAGAATGAGTTCGCTCCATTATATTGTTGGTGGGAGTAGCAATTGATACAACCTGAAAAAGTCACATATCAAAGGATTTTTTTAAGTTCATCACTCCAGTAGTCCTCCCATTTGTATGTTGAGAAAATAACCAGGAAAAGTTTCATATTCAAGGTATTTATCATAGTCCTATGATATTACATACAATCATATCTGTCATATTACATATTTCTATGTAATTGTTTATAACCCAAAATTATAAAACCTTGAAATACCTAAGAATATTATAACCACGTATTAAAAGATTTTGTTACTATTACCTAATATGGTATGATTTACGTTTTTTTTTGTTTGTTTTTGTTTTGAGACCAAGTCTCAAGCTGTTTTTTTGAGGGTAGAGTGCCTTGGTGTTATAGCTCACAACCTCCAACTTGGGTTCAAGTGATCCTCTTGCTTCAGTTTTTCTATTTTTATTTTTTTGAGACAGAGCCTCAAGCTATCGCCCTGGGTAGAGTGCTGTGGCATCACAGCTCATAGCAACCTCCAACTCCTAGGCTCAAGAGATTCTCCTGCCTCTGCCTCCCAAGTAGCTGGGACTACAGGCACTCACCACAACACCTGGTTATTTTTTGGTTGCAGCCATCGTTGTTTGGCAAGCCCGGGCTGGATTCAAACCTGCTAGCTCAGGTGTATGTGTATGGTGCTTTAGCCGCTTGAGCCACAGGTCCTGAGCCAGTTTTTTTATTTTTAGTAGACACGCTATTTGCTCAGGCTGGTGTTGAACTAATGAGCTCAAGCAATCCACCTGCCTCCACCTCCCAGCGTGCTAGGATTACAGGTGTAAGCTCAGCCTCCATTTATGTTTTATAAATACTTAGAAATAAGGCTGGAAGAAAATAGTTACTTTGGTGTGTCTGTCTTTGTATTGTAAAATGATGGGTAGTTTTTTTCATACTAGTTGTCTATGTTTTCCAAGTTTTTTTATTTTCAGATTATTAAGGGTATACATATTTTGTTTATGTACTTTGTTTTTGTACAGATTGGGTCAAAGTTACGAGTGTATCCTTTACCCAAATAGTGTGCACTAAATACTAAATAAAGTGTGAATTTACCCATCTTCTTCCCCACTTCCTCCCAGCTTGATGTGTTTTTTATTGAGACAAAGTCTCATTTGGTCACCCTCAGTAGAGTACTGTGGCGTCTTAGCTCACAGCAGTCTCAAAGTCTTGGGTTCAGGTGATCCTCTTGCCTCAGCCTCCCAAGTAGCTGAGACCGCAGGCACCTGCCACAATGCCTGGCTGTTTTTTAGAGAGGGCGGTCTCACTCTGGCTTAGGCTAATCTCCAGCGCATGAGCTCAGGTGAGCCACCGACTTAGCCTCCCAAGTGTTACAATTACAGGCATGAGCCACTGCACCTGGCCAACCCCAGCTTGATTTTCATTGAGATTTACTTCCACATGTGCATTTAAGTGTTTATGAATTAGTTCCAATTTGATATTGAGTACATGTGTTTATGGGGTTTTGTTTGTTTGTTTGTTTGTTTTACCATTCTTGTTTCACTTAAAAGAATGGTTTCCAATTCTATCCAAGTTGTCACAAAAGATACTAAATCACCTTCTTTTTTTTAAAGGCTGAGCAGTACACCATGGTATGCATCTACCCCATCTTATTAATCCATTCGTGTATCGATGGTGACTTGGGTTGTTCCCACATCTTTGCTATTGCAAATTGTGCTGCTTATTTTCCAGGTTTTTTAGCAGTGACAGTGTATTTTATATTGCTACTTCCCAGGGAAACTTAAACTAGGGAAGCTTAAAGTAAGCTTGAGAAATAGCAATTAGTTTTTAAAAAGAAATAAGAAAAAAATGAAATGTATTTTATGATCACAAGAAAAATACTTTTTAAATCTTTTTAATGAGAGGATAATTTGTGAGTGGGGATAGTGATTATATTGGTCCTTGAGTTATTTTTAAGTTTTCTAAAGGAAAATAATTTTTGTGCTAGGAAAAGCTAACCTGGCTAAATAAAGACATCAGATCCTACTAAAATTATATCCATTCAGTGTAAAACACTGGCACTCATTACTCAAAAGCTCTGGTAGCAGTTATGGGGAAATTAATTACTTAAACTCACTTTGGTAGACAGTCTGTCAAAATACAGGATCTATCAGGGGAAAATAATGAAAGGAGCTCTTTGTAGCAAAGATGTTTGGGTGATCTAGGTTCCCAGTCATTTTACAATCATAAAATCCCTGAACAACTCACATTGACACCTCTAGCCAAGTTCCACAGTAGACATATAGCTACCACAATGTTTACTGAGAAACTTTCACCCAATAGGAAGAATTGTCAGTTCTCTGGGTTATGTAGCATCATCTATTTCTTTTCTGTTTCTGTGTTCCCTGCCTGCACTGAAGCTGTTATTATGTTAGCCAGAGTCATCTGTATAAGTTGAAACATTGCAGTAGTGTTTAGGTTTGCCTTCTGGAGTTTGAATGTTATCTAGGAATTTAAATTTCTGAGAATAAAGAGCTAGATCCTCAAGAAGAAATAACTCTTAGGCAGCCTCATGATGTATCTCCTATTTCAGATCATTGTTTCTACAACATAAAGCAAAATGTATGCTAAAACCATTTCTACTTATACTTCCCTGTGAGTTACTCGGCCAGGGGTTATGAAGTAACCTAATTTTTTTTTTTTTTTTGCCTTTGTTTTCAGGTGCCAATGAAGTGCTTCTAGTGGTTGGGGGCTTCGGAAGCCAGCAGTCTCCCATCGACGTGGTAGAAAAATATGACCCCAAGACTCAGGAGTGGAGCTTTTTACCAGTAAATAATGGTGGAACTATTCTTTGGGAGCAAGTTTAAATGTCCTTGGTTCCCTATTCTATATCATAACTAATCCACCCCTAAAAGTAGGAAAGCCTAAGTAATAGCACATTTCTTACAACAATACTGTGTACACGGTGGGTACTCAGTAAACTGTTTGTGACTGTTGAGGTTAGATTAGACTTTAGAAATGTCAGTAGCCCTGTGTCAAACTCAGCTGGGCACCACCTATGTAGGTACCTGTCCATCTCTCTGTCTATTTTTCATTTATTTTTTGAGACTGGGTTTTGCTCTGTTTGTTTTTTGAGACTGGGTTTTGCTCTGTTGGCCTGAGTGGAGTGCAGTGGCATCCATTGTCATAGCTCACTGCAACCTTAAAGTCCTGGGCTCATGTGATCCTCCTGCCTCTGCCTTCTATGAGTGATTGGGACTACAGGTGCATGCCACCATGCCTGGCTAATATTTTTTGTAGAGATGAATTCTTGCTATCTTGCTCGGCTGGTCTCAAAGTCCTGGGCTCACGCCATCTTCTGGCCTCAGTCTCCCAAAGTGCTAAGATTATAGGGGTAAGCCACGAAGCTGTCTGTATAACTCCTCGAATCCTTCATTAGTCACACTGTGTTAAATGGAATCCAGAGTTGAATTGTGGAATTGTATTAAATTGAACTAGTGTCAATTGAATTCAGAAGTATGTCCCTTAGTATGTCTCTATTTCTCTGCTGAATGAACAATAATTTCTGATAAAACATAGAAATCTACTGCTCTTGACATTGTGGCAGGCGCCTATAGTCCCAGCTACTTGGAGGCTGAGGCAAGAGAATCACCTAAGCCCAGGAGTTAGAGGTGTGAGCTGTGTGACACCACAGTAGTCTACCAAGGGCAATAAAGTGAGACTCTATCTGTACAAAAAAAAAAAAAATATATATATATATATATATTGCTCCTGCTATTTAGGGTCATTGAATTCTGGCTTTTTTTTTTTTTTTTTGAGACAGTCTCTCTTTGTCACCCTGAGTAGAATGCTGTGGCGTCACAGCTCACAGCAACTTCAAACTCTTGGGCTCAAGTAATTCTGTTGCCTCAGCCTCCAGAGTAGCTGGGACTACAGGTGCCCTATAATGCCAGGCCATTTTTAGAGACAGAGTCTTGCTCTTCTTGCTCAGGCTGGTCTCGAACTCCTAAGCTCAGGCAATCCACCTGCTTTGGCATCCCAGAGTGTGAGGATTACAGATGAGAGCCACCATGCCATGCCCGGCCCTGAATTTTGGCTTTTATTAGCAAATGCAGGATTACTTTTCTACTCTATGGAAGAATATAAGTCTTTTAGCCCAGTTCCTTATGGACAGGAAAACAGTTAGATGCTGGATAGTAGAAGCCATTAAATTGTGTAGAAGCCTTGGAAAGAGATAAATGTGCAGAAGGTTTGCGTCTTTAAGAGTACCACAACACGTATTTCATTTAGGAGGCAGCCAGCTGAGGGCCTCTTGAGTTTGGACCACTCAGAGAGGGTTCATGGTGACAAGTGAAGAAGCATACAGGTGTATAGATAAAAACAGCAAGGAGAGCAAAAGCTAAGGCCCAAAACTTGCCTAACTGAAATGCTCTGTACCTCTCCTTCCAAATCCATAGAGCATCACCCGTAAGAGACGTTATGTGGCCTCAGTGTCCCTACATGATCGGATCTATGTAATCGGTGGCTATGATGGCCGTTCCCGCCTCAGTTCAGTGGAATGTCTGGACTACACAGCAGATGAGGATGGGGTCTGGTATTCTGTGGCCCCTATGAATGTCCGACGAGGCCTTGCAGGAGCTACAACCCTGGGAGGTAGGCTTAGTATGCATGGTAATGTTTCTATCTTAACATGGCTGGATCAGGGTTCTTACCTCTCCACTTGTCTGGTGGGAGGATAAAATATTGAGGATAAATTTGTAGGGTCACATATGTCATTTTGCTTTCACAAATACCAATGTTACAGAATCTGTTCAGCATTCATAGATGTTTCAATACTGACTACAGACTTGGCAAATCAAGTTCCAGTGTCCTGGCTCAGCACCTGTAGCTCAGTGGCTTGGCTGCCAGCCACATACACTGGAGCTGGCAGGTTCGACTCCAGCCTAGGCATACCAAACAACAGTGACAACTACAACCCAAAAATAGCCGGGTGTTGTGGTGGGTGCCTGTAGTCCCAGCTACTCGGGAGGCTGAGGCAAGAGAATCACTTGAGCCCAAGAGTTTGAGATTGCTGTGAGCTGTGACACCACAGCACTCTACCCAGGGCAACATAGTGAGACTCTGTCTCAAAAAAGAAAAAGTTCCATGTCCTGTATGAGGAACTGGCACTCATATTTTTGCAAATGTCTATGTAGTTTTGCACGCTTTTATAGATTTTATCTTATACTGTTCTTTTTAGGTGTCTGAACTGTGCTGTTACCTTGTCTACACGATTTAATTATCCTATTAAAAAAAAAGTTTTGCTTTTACTCCCAGACTTTTAAAGAACCTACTCCTTGGCTCAAAGGAGTAGGGCGCTGGCCCCATATGCTGGAGGTGGCAGGTTCAAATCCAGCCCTAGCCAAAAACTGCAAAAAAAAGAACCTGTGGGGAATTTGTAGAGAAAAGAATTCTTAGAGATTTCATTCTATAATAATTTGTGATTTGTTTATTCTGAGCAGATATGATCTATGTCTCTGGAGGCTTTGATGGAAGCAGGCGTCATACCAGTATGGAGCGATATGACCCAAATATTGACCAGTGGAGCATGCTGGGAGATATGCAGACAGCCAGAGAAGGCGCTGGACTAGTAGTGGCCAGTGGAGTGATCTACTGTCTAGGTATTAAGTCTGGGTTGCCAGAGTGGGAAAGAAACTCAACAGACTAGGTGGGAATCCCTTTTCATCAGAATTAAGTTAGTAGACTTTCTTCAACAAAAACTCTGAGACTGGGTGCAGTGGCCCATGCCTGTAATCCTAGCACTCTGGGAGGCCGAGGCAGGCGGATTGCTCAAAAAAAAAAAAAAAAAGAATTAAGTTAGTAGACTTTCTTCAACAAAAACTCTGAGACTGGGTGTAGTGGCCCATGCCTGTAATCCTAGCACTCTGGGAGGCCGAGGCAGGCGGATTGCTTAAGCTCACGAGTTTGAGACCAGCCTGAGCAAAAGCGAGACCCTGTCTCTACTAAAAATAGAAAAACTGAGGCAAGAGGATTTCTTAAGCCCAAGAGTTGGAGGTTGCTGTGAGCTATATGCCACAGCATATACCTGTGGCAACAGCTTGAGACTCTGTCTCAAAAAAAATAAAAATAATAAAACCTGGTTCGGCTCAGCACTTGTGGCTCAAGCAGCTAAGGCACCAGCCACATACACCTGAGCTGGCAGGTTCGAATCCAGCCCAGGCCTGCCAAACAACAATGATGGCTGCAACCAAAAAATAGCCAGGCATTGTGGCAGGCACCTATAGTCCCAGCTACTTGGGAGGCAGAGGCAGGAGAATCGCTTGAGCCCAGGAGTTGGAGGTTGCTGTGAGCTGTGATGCCATGGCCCAAGGCAACAGCCTGAGGCTCTGTCTCAAAAAAAAAAAAACCCCAACCCTGGTTCATTTCAATATATTCTCCATTAACTGGGATTTTTCTCTTTCTTATAAACAGAAAGTAGGATACTATCAGATTTTTGTTTGGGTTATTAAGGAACTCTTATGGGAGAATTGAAACTTAAAAAAAAAATGAATCAAAGCACTCAGAGAAAGGTTTATTGGGAATGGGCATGAGAATTTACAACTCTTTCTGGAATGGTCTTTGCTTTTTCTCTCAGGTGGATATGATGGCTTGAATATCTTAAATTCAGTTGAGAAATATGATCCTCATACAGGACACTGGACCAATGTTACACCAATGGCCACCAAGCGTTCTGGTAAGACCAAATCTGAGTGAGGGGACAATAGACAATGCTGTCAACTCTTTACATGTTTAACGGTGGTGCAGCACAGGTCAGGATATCAATAAATCAGACTTAGTTCCTGGTTCGCTATAGACTTAGGAGTCAGATTTCTTTCTCCTGTTTACTTCTGTTTAAACATTAGGATAAAGACAGCTTAAACTTTCAAGTAAATTATAAATTTGAGATCCAAAGCCTTCATGTCTTTATTCTCTTCCTGCATTTTAGAATATCTAATACAATTCTGTCTATATAATAAATGTACAAATATTTGTTAAATAAAATCTCTAGGGGATAATAATAGAAGAGTAGCTATTTCTCTTCACTGAGAGCTTTTTGAAGTAGAATAGGCTGGAATATAGAAAAAGAGAAAACACTGCTATTGTAATTTATTTTCTCTGGGTAAAAACTGCTCCAGAACTCCTTTTCTTCCTTCTACCTTTACTGCTTTTTTTTTTTTTTTTAATCAATTCAAGTCCTAGCCAAAAAATTTACAGATAGAATAACTTGTTCTGGATTAGATTATTTCAGGCCCACCTGGGCCCAATCTATGTCCCTTATCTGCCCTAGAATTCAGCTAGCTATTAGTGACTGGTTTTTTGTTTCAAGAATTCTAATCCTAGGCTCAGTGCCATTCATCTGCTAATAGCCTCTTTTTCTCCAGGTGCAGGAGTAGCCCTGCTGAATGACCATATTTATGTGGTGGGGGGATTTGATGGTACAGCCCACCTTTCTTCTGTTGAAGCATACAACATTCGCACTGATTCTTGGACAACTGTTACTAGTATGACCACTCCACGATGCTATGTAGGGGCCACAGTGCTTCGGGGAAGACTCTATGCAATTGCAGGGTAAGGATTTAGAAACCAGGCCAGACTCATCTTGTTTCTAGGGCAAGAGTTTATGTGATCCAGTCCTCATTTTTGGATAGAGATAGGGTTATTGTGGGGGGAAACATCTGCAGTGGCAACTTTAATGGAGAACATTTATGGACACTGGGCATAGTGGCTCATGCCTGTAATCCTAATACTCTGGGAGGTAGAGGCTGGTGGATCACTTGAGCTTAGGGGTTTCAGACCAGCCTGAGCAAGAGCAAGATCCCTGTCTACCAAAAATAGAAGAACTAGTCAGGCATTGTGGCAGGTACCTATAGTCCCTGGGAAGGCTGAGGCAGAAGGATTGAGTCCAAGAGTTTGAGGTTGCTGTGACCTATGATGATGCCACAGCATTCTACCCAGGGTGAAAGAGTAAGACTGTGTCTCAAAAAAGGAAAGGAATCAAAAGCTTGTATGGAAAGCAACAGAAAGCTTATTTCTTTCTTTTGCTTCTTTCCCACTCAGATATGATGGTAATTCCCTGCTGAGTAGTATTGAGTGCTATGACCCTATCATCGACAGCTGGGAAGTAGTGACATCCATGGGAACCCAGCGTTGTGATGCTGGTGTGTGTGTTCTCCGAGAGAAGTGACCATTGATGGAACACCATCCAGAGCTAGTGACCAGTGCAAGGGACAGTTTGTGGGAGAATCAAGGATCCTTTCCAGAATGTTTGTTTCTCACTCTGTGCACAGGGTGATTACAGGCACCAGTGCAGTGATGATTGTACTTATTTGACATACACTCCCCTTTGTGCTGGTGGTCCTTCCTGAGAAGGGTGGGTAACAAACAGATACCCAAGGGAAGAGAACGCACAATGAATGGATGTCAGAAACCAGATCACCTCTCCCTCTGGTTTGGAGAGCACTTTCTTGTCGTTTGTAACTACCATGTGCTTGGGAGACTATATAAATGTTATGCCTCAAATATTGCAGAGAACTAAGGTAAGTATGGCCTGCTAGATGTGGGCAGTATCCAGGCTAGATAATTAGAAGGATACCAACTTGAATAAACTTGGTAAAATCCAAGTCTTTCTTTTTCCCTAGGAATAAATAATCTACAGGTAGGTAGGGGCAGTGCACTTGTGTTCTGGAAAAAAACAAAAGGAGAGCCCTATCTAAACTTTGGGGGTTAGGGGGAGACATTTATGTGACACTACCTTGGGGGGGTGGGGGACAGGGTTAGTATATAAGAATGAGGTTGGAGTAAGTGAAAGTAACTGAATTTAATGGAATATGAGTGTACCTAGAACACCACTGAAGTATAACCTGCAAGACTGAGTGTTGTGCATCTAGAGTCTCTTGGCACTGGAGACTGAGGAAATAACAGTAAACAAATGTTGGGATGGGAGGACATGGCATAAATGTGAGAGTTCAGTATACCTGATGTTGAATTAGAAGTACCTGTGATCTTACAATTGTCTCATTCCTTGCCAGGGCTCTTCTAGTCATGGCAATGTTTGCTTTGAATCGGTGAAAGACTTAATTTTGTTGAATCAAATACTACTACACTATTACTGTTACACTTTCACAATATTTATTTGGGGATGGGTTGGGGATGGCAGCAGCCTAGTTAAGATCAGCTACCTGATTAACACCTCGTTCTTTTAAGGGCACACTTCTGCTAAGGAGTGTTTTTGTTTTTGTTTTTGTTTTGAGACAGAGTCTTATTTTGTTGCCCTGGTTTGGTTTGCAGTTTGGCCAGGGCCAGGCTCAAACCTGTTACCCTCAGTATATGGGGCTGGCGCCCTACTCACTGAGCCACAGGCGCCGCCCTGCTAAGGAGTGGTTTTTACTGCTGTGTTTGGTACTTTAGTCTTTCTCCTGCTATAACTTTCCCTTAGCTGTCCTTAGAGTAGATTTTATTCATCTCAGGACAGAATAATCAACAACAACCGAAATTCTTTAGTTAGTCCCAGTACCTCTGCTATCAACATTTCTGAGCTACCATTCGAGGATCATCTGTGTCATGGAGTGAAATTCTTGTTTTATGGGTATTGGGAGTATGGGGATGTGATAACCTAAACAAGAATGCACGTTTCCTTTGCTCTGAAATTCCATATTTTCCTCTTTCCCTGAATTGTATTGACCTACAGAGTTAATTTCCTTTGTATTTTTTTAAGAAAATATTAAAAATCAACTGTCTCAAATGTGTTTGTGGCTAATCAGCATTTCCTTCAGCAGACATCTTGGAGGACGAGATATAGGGATCAGCTATAATTCCTATGCAACTCTTTTACCCTGTGTGTTTGCCAAACTAGTTTTGCTAGTTTATCTGTCAAGATACAGGTAAGAGGTAGCCTCTATCTGTTTTGTGAAAGGGCTATATATGCAAAGTGACACCCAAATGCAGAATGAGCCACATAAACAAAGGATGAAGCAGGCAAATCCATTTTGTTAGTAGAGAGTGATTTATTGGGGAAGTTGTGAGCAGAATCATGGTCTTAGGCATCCACAAGACAAATAGATCTCTGCACTGTTACTCCCTAGACCCAGGGATCATATACATTAAGAAAAATGTTTATGTGCTCTATAGGAAATGTGTAAGACAAAGTCAGCCTTCTGGGAAAGGACAAAAATGCTATGTTATGTCATTGCCTATAATTTGTGTGAAAGTATCAAGCTTATTTTGACCTAAGATCAGTATTTACATTAAGTCTGTGCTCTGACACAAGGAACAGTAGGTCTAAAGTGGAAATCTTAGAGGTGTTCTCTGAACTGGAGTTAATCAAAAGTCAATATGACGTGTCAGCATCCAAAATGGAGTTACTTTCAACTTCCACATTTATCACTGGAGAGTCTCATCAGTAAAATGTTTACCTGAATTTGCCATGTTAATAGGTCTCTCTCATACTTGGAGTTACTTAAAAACCAAAGGGGAGAATAAAACAATCTTGAGCTCATTTAGCACCCAC